AGAGTTTTTACAGCCTCACGGAGTTCACGCTCTGCTTTAACAAGGTTGGTCCCATTATCTGACCTCATGACTTTAACAGGGCCTCTTCTGGAGACAAATCTTCTGATTGCATTAATGCAGGAATCAGTATTGAGATTATGTGCAATCTCTATGTGAACTGCCCTGATAGGGAGACATGTAAAAACAACTCCATATCGTTTGACAGTAGACCTTCCATGCTTTATGTTGAACGGGCCAAAGAAATCTACACCCACGTTGGTAAAAGGCGGTTCATCTGGACTGACCCTTTCCTTTGGTCAGTCAGCCATGATCTGCTCACCTTTCCTTACATTCATCCTCTTGCAGGGGACACATTTGGCAATCACCTTTCAAATTGCTGAAGTAGCTCCTGGAATCCAAAATTTTTGTCGCAAACGCGACAGAGTGTGACTTCTTCCATTGTGTCCAATATTCTCATGAATGTATGTAATGATGAGCTGTGTTACATGGTGGTTCTTTGGCAAGATAACAGGATGTATGGATTCTGATGGCATAGCAGACTTGCTTAATCTGCCACCAACTCTCATTAGTCCCTCCTGCAGAATTGGTGATAGTTTAAGGAGATGGCTGCTAGATTTCACAGCATTTCCTTTCCTTAATGCAGTCATCTCTTCTGCAAAGTTTGTTTCCTGCAAGAACATGATGATTGCATCTTCTGCTTCTTGTAGTTCTTGCATAGAGAGAACTTGTATTTCCTGTTTGTCACTTTTATTTCCAAGAATATCCTTTTTCTTTGCAATACAGTGGGTACTAGTTGGAAATGGACGGTTTCCTGCGTGATTCCTGCGTGATTCCTGCATGATTCCTGCATGATTCCTGCGTGAATCACGATGTATTTCCTGAGGCCAGTTTTTTTATTTCAAAAAGAACTGCAATGTAACCACCAGGTGGCACTTGGGAACTTTTTTTTTTCTCTTTAATCCAGGCTGTTAAGATGCTGTCTTTAAAGCAGTTTTTTTGGGGATCTTGGTGTGATATTGTGCTACTTTATGATGTTTTTGATTAAAATAAAGTTCATTAATTAATTTAACATACTGACTGCATTATCTTATTTCATGAGAAGTGTTGCATTCTGTATGGGCACAGTTATAGATACACCCTGCGATCTTATCTGAGAACTGTTTATTTCTATTTATCTGCATCTCTATTATTTAATGAAAAATGATTATAATAAATCTTTTTGGCAAAACAAATAACTGAATCAATAAAGGTCCGTGGATCATCCGTCCATTCGGGAGGGAGGGGGTTCATGCAACGTCATTCCATCACCGGTATCTCGGTATCCAATCAGCTCACTGATTTGTGCGTTGATCAAAGCCATCTCTGACAACAGCATTGAAACACCACTATTTATCAAGACGGTCCGGCTGCAGCACCTCAGCTGTCAGACCAGTTCCGCTGCAGGCGCCTGTCACAGGCCACCTCCACCGTAGGGCCGGAAATAAACAAATTTAGCCACGCCCACCTCCCCCCAACCGACATCACCAGACAAAGAAGAAGGTTGTTGAACACGCGAGACTCCTCAACAATTATAAGTTAATTTCTTACTTTTACCACGAAGCAAAAGATGTCTGGCTTTCATATGCTTGTCAGCAATGTATCGCTGTAGCGTTATATGTAAAGCACGTGCGGTTACTGAATGTTACAGTCAGTGATGGGCAGTAGCGCCGCTACATGTAGCGAAGCTGTTAGTTTAACTGCATTTACCAGTAGCTTGACCGTAGTGTCGCCGCTTTATTTATCAAGTAACTTTACAGTAGTGACGTTGTTGTTTTTATCAAGTAGCGACGATGCGTCCACAAACGCTACAAAATCCAGGGCAAAACTAAGTAATGAAACCAGGTTTTCTATTTTTGAAACAACATTCAGAGTTATTTGCTGGACATTCATGCATGAGCCTCTATTCTGCCTCTCCTGTCTGTGTCTACGAAACATGCGCATGCGCACGGCAGTGGAACTCAAAGAATGACACCCACAGACACACAGCCACACACACAGGATGGAGGAGGAGACAGGAGCAGAGCGCCTTATCTTCAGAGATTTTGAAACTTGTTGAATCCTCTGATAAAAAGTACGTGTTCAGATGTTTTAAGGCTTATTTGCACAGATAAGATTTTTTAGATATGGAGGAACAGCTCTCCCATGTATAAAAATAAATACATAAATAAATACAGGCTCAATAAATGAATAAACATTCAATTAATTACCCCCCAAAATACAATGACTAAATATGTAGGTAGAAATTAAATTATACAGTGAGACATAAATGTATATATATCTCTTAATTAACTTCTTTATTTTTTCACCTTTTTTGTAAACAGTTTCATTTGTTACTTGAATCGACTGTTTAATTGAGGTCTGAAGACGTTTTCTCTAAGGGAGACCCTAAAGAAATAAGATGCCTTTTGTAGGGTTTTGTTTTCCCTAGAGATGTCCATTGAATGCAAACTCATAGCCATGTCTCGATATGTAGAACACTACACAGCACCTTTAATTTGGTTCTAAAAACAGCAGATAGTTTATTTTTTTGTCTACTAGTAATTACTTTAGTTTTTTTTTATTATGCTGATCATAAAACAATTTTTACACCGTGTTATTTCATTGGCTGATCTTTAATAAAGATTTTAACCAGTGTATCAGACTCATTTTGAATTGATATTAGGTTTGTACAACGTTAAGTAGCTTCTGATGTAGCTACTACTTTTAACACATTAGTGCAGTTGTTCCCAAAGTGTGGGGCGCGCCCCCTGGGGGGGGGGGGGGGGGGGGGGGTGCAATGCCATTGCAGGGGGGGGGGGCGCGGGAAGCGGTATGGATGAATTACGAAAAAAAAAAAACAGTGCTTGCTTGACTGAGCATAATGGGCAGTTGTGACACTGCAACCCAGATTTGAGAAGATCTGCAGCAACAAGCAGGCTCACTACAACCACTGAAAAGATGGGAGGATTAAAGTACAAAGAAAAAACTCTCAGGGAGCTGTTCAATGTTTTCACTCCATTTTGCACAGAGGCTTTTTTAATGTATTGATGATAGCAAAGTTAAATATTGTTGTGATTCTATAGTTAAATTCTATTCCCAGCCCGCTGGGAATTTATGTTTCTGATACTTTAAGATGTTTATTGCCCTCCCCTGTAGGGGTGGTAAAATATCTTATTTAATCAGATATTATTTCAGCTGTTATATACTGTTTATGACACACAGTCCTACTAACTGTGTGTTAGAACAATAGATGAAAGAGTGATTCGAGCACTAATCATGGTCAAACAGTTATTTCTGCACATACATGGAATAAATTCACCACAACTTCTGTTCAAAATATAAGATTTTATTAACAAAAATCATTCAACTCCAGGTCAAACGTATTTCAGTTTAACACTCTCAACTAAGACTAGTAAAACTCAACTAAACTAAACTAACTACTATGTACAAAGAGGAAGGGGGAAACGGTTGAAAAACATATTACAGTTTAAGATGGATTCTGTGTTTGAAACCAAAGTTTATCTGGAAGAATTTGGGATATGATCAAATTAGCTTTTAACTAATTTCAAAGAAATTGGAATGTTTTCAGACCAATTCACAATGCAAATCCATGAGGTGAATAAAACATTATTTGGCCAAATAATGTTTTATTAAAGGATTTGCTTAATCAAGAACCAAAAACCTTTAGTTAAATGATTCTTTACCCTCTTTGAAATAGCTAGCAGCGAATAGACATCAGGATTCCACTAAATGACTCTTGGTCAGACTTGGTAATGGAAATGTAATGAGCATTTTAGGAACACATAAACACTAATGTTATATCAGTGTTTAAATCCTTAGTGAATAAAGCTTGTCTAAGCTTTAGCAACAGCTCAACATATATTCCTGTAGCATAGCGTAGCATGCAGTCCATTCTGTTAGCATCAATTAGCGTTGTCTTTACTGAGCAGTTCTGTTCCTAATCATGCCAGACCTGCAAACCTTTTTCCATGTCCATTTGGAAAGCTTGAGTTTCATCCAGTTTTGCAGCTCTGCAGTCAGGGGTTCTTTGTCTCAGTCTCACAGCAGGGGTCCTCTCAGTCTCACCCCCAAGGATATGGCTCTCATCCAGTTTGGCTCTGTAAGTTCTGAAACTCAAGAGAAATGTGTTGCAAAAGTTCTGTTTGCAGCAGTTAGGTTCTGAAGAGTTCTGACTCATCCTTGATGGTTCTGGGGATCTGGTTCCCCTGGGGCCCGCATCTCCACTGTGGGCCACATGTTATTGTAATCCAAACGGGGGCCCAGAAGAAAATCTTTGGGAACCACTGCATTAGTGTAACTTAGCTTGCTATAATTCTTTAGGTGCTAGCTTTGGTGTAGTGAAGCTTAATTTATTGTTGAGTAACTGATAGCTTAGCTCACTACACAGGACAAGCAGCTTGCCCAACACTGGTTACAGTGTGCTGAAATACTGTACAGGTTTAATTGTTTGGAGGTGGTTAACAAACGCTTCATAAAACCGTTTAACTTATCGTAGTTAGCGTAGTTTTTGTTATTTCTTATTTGCATTGCTTTAGATTCAACACAGAGTCAGGTCGATGCTCTGCTCGTTTCAGTTTACTGTAGACAAACAGACTGCGGTTTTGCAGCCAGACCTCTCTCGACTGCTCAGCATGCATCAAGTTGCAGGCCTGGGCTCAAACAAATTCTTACAGTTTAGCAATGTGTGAAGATGAGCTGTTGTCAACTGATACGTTTGATAAATGCAATTTTATATGTGAGCACTAATAGTTCTGTTGTCTGGTTAAATGCAGCTGAATGTAAACCTTAAAAAAAAAATCTTTCTTTCTTTTTTTTTTGTTCATAGTATGCCCTGTACACTGTGCTGGATGCGCCCTATGACTTAGTACAGCTACTTGGTGATATCAAACAGCAATCTGTGGATGCTGTTTAGTGATATTGTGTTTGTTACTCTGCATTTTTCAGAAAGACATGCCAAACTTGAGAAACTGGTGGTGCGTCATGTTAATGGAGAATCTGGAACTTGGCAGGTGAGAACAAAAGCTCTTCTTGGTTAGATGGAATCATCCCTTTGATTCTATTGTTTATCATCTTTTACCTCCCCACCACCTCTTATTTAATTCCCAGTTATGGACAAATGTTTGCCCATTGGACGGAGTCCTCCAAGGCCCTCTTACGATGTGACGTGTCTCCAGTTTATAGACTGAAGAAGAGGACACTGGATGACATCACCAAGGTTGGTAATGTGTGTGTGTGTGTGTGTGTGGTACCGTATTTTCACGACCATAGGGCGCACCGTACTAAAAGGCGCACTCTCAGTTATCTGTGCCATTTCTGTATTTAACACACACATAAGGCGCACCGGACTATAGGGCACGTTTTTTATATACAGGTACATGTCCTCTACTACGTTTAAATACCTCTACTGCGTATTTAAAAATAAAGCGGGAGCAAAACTGAGTATGATTGTGCTTTATTCATTTATTTATTACAAAGTATTAATCAAACAGGCTGTGATCACTCCTCTGAAACAGTTTATTGACGCATAAATTAACTTTTTTTTAACCAAGCCACTCTTTCATCTTCTCCTCATCCATCCAGCCCTTTTCATTTGCCTTAATATCATATGTCATCAGAGCGATTTGTCTGTATCACGGCCAGCTCCCAGGTTTGATTAATAGGCTACTTTGTATTAAATACACCTTGCAGCTATATTTGCTGTGATCAGTGGGAATAAAGTAGTTTTAATATGTTTTTAAGTGAGAAAATCCACCTTAAAACTGGATAATAAAAGCGAACATATTCTGTCTGCAGGTTAAGTTAATTTAGGCGTCAATAAACTGTTTCAGAGGAGCGATCACAGCGCTTTGTATATGTGTATCATCAGCGATGTGTCTGTCTCGCTGTCAGCTCCCAGATCAGCTTCTCTGATTGGTTGATGGGGCGCGTCCAGCAGCAAAACTTCAATTTTTCCATCTCGAGCAGCAGCAGCGCGTTGGCGGCGTGTCAGATGCTTAAACGCTCCCGACGCGCTGCACCTGCTGCTCAAAACGCGCTGCGGGACCTTTTGCTGCGCCTATACGCGTGTCAACCATTGACTTTGCATGTAAACTCGCTGCTTCTGCTGCACCTGCTGCGTCCGGTTTACACCGATGTCGAGCGGTTGAATAACAGCGAGCACTGCCTTAATTTGTTTCACCATGTTTTCACATCAGCTGTGAGATGGGCACGCATGGAGTCACAGATTAACAGCAATGGTGATGAGTGGAAAAAAAACACCTGGTCTCCTCACATTCAGCCACTCTTTCATCATCTCCTCAATGAGGTGGTCTCAAAAGTCCGCAGTAACAACACACATAGGGCGCACCGCACCAAAGGGCGCGCCGCACATTTTGAGGGGAAAAAAAGACGTTTATATGCACCTTATAGTCGTGAAAATACGGTAAATTAACTACATGGAACTTTTCTGATTAATTTTTATTTATATTTTCCCCTCAGGACCAAGACCAGCTTTAAACTACACAGGCTGACTTATTCCATACCGAAAAGGTCAAAATGGTAAGTCTTTTTTTAATGTACATTTTGTTGCATTTGTAACCAGGTTAATTTAACTCTCACACCCTACAAATGGAGCTGCAGCAACCTGCACAGCTCCTTTAACTCAACTCATTTATGATGTAGAGCTTAGCCACAAGGGGGCAGCAGATGATCAGTCACCCTACTCCAAAGGCGAAGAAGTCCCTGTTCTCTGTAACAGACGGCAGAGTTGTTTTCTAGAAAAATCTGGATCATCGCCGTCTGCGGTTGGCGTGGGAGGCAGAAGTAGAGAGCTTACAGTGATAAGCAGAATTACCAAATTAATCGGAGAGGATTTTCATTTCTATGATCGTGCTTGGATTTCTTTGAGTTTTGTGTGACCAATATCCCGGCTGGTTTTTTTTCCTTTTGGAGATTTCAGCAGAGGCGAGTCCGTACCTTGCTGTTGCCGCTTGTTCCATTGGTTTCCACTGTGGCTGGATCTTCTACTGGGCTGCACCGCCTCCCTTCGTATTGCCTCTTCTGGAAGATTTTCCATTCATGGACTCTTATTGAGAGGGTTGTAGGACTGAGTGCACTCAGTATTTTTATTTTATTTTGGGACCTTGAACTTTTTATGCCTGAGATTTCAGAGTGTTTTTTTCCTTCAGTGATTCTAATTGTTGTATATAAGAAAGGAAGGACTTGATGGACTTTTATTTTTCTGATGTTGAGTCAACTGTTTACAGGTGACTAAGTTCAATACACCTTATATATTTCCGCTAATCTGTTGTTCAGTGTGTTATTTGGGGTGGATATCTGAACCTTTGTGCAGGTGAAAAAACCAACAGCCTCCTCACTGAACCTAGACTAGATTCTCCTTCTGGGTTATAGTTACTACATATTTGTATTACCAATACTAGTAATAAAGGAGGGGTTACACATTCATTTTTTTTTTTTGGAAAATAATAATCTCTCCTCTTTTCTACAGGATAAAAAGGTGATCCATGACTGCAGAAAAGCAGCACACTGGTTGGAAGAAAACCAAAGTCTCTTCAGAGGCAATGTGGATTTGCCTGACATTTTGATGATGGGGGAGGAGAATGTGGCTGAAGCAGTCAAGCTATTCAAAGAAATGTGTGAAGTAGATGACTTCACCATTGATGAGCATGAGAGGGAGATGGTTTTAGAACCTTTCAAGTTTGTTTTTGAAAAGATTGAAGTAGGGCTGCAACAACGAATCGATAAAATCAATAAAAATTGACTTTTAAAAGCGTTGGCAACGAATTTAATCATCGATTAGTTGTGTCGCGCGATTAATGCGTCATCCACCGCCGCCATCATCACATCCACTTGACTGAAACGGGGAAGAAAAAAAAATATGGCAGAGCGAGCCAGCCCCGCAGGTGCAGTGTTGCCAACTCAGTGACTTTTCAGACCCCTGCAGCGACTATTTTTCAAAAAAGCGACTAGCGACAAATCTGGCGACTTTTTACGGTGTCACTGGCGGCTTTTGGAGACTCTTACATGAAAGCGTTCCTACTCTGCCGTGGGGCGCCTCCCCCATCCCAACCGCGTTCTCCCTCTCCCACAGGAGTCCCTCTCAGCGCTGCAGTCAGAGCCGCAGGATTTTAGTGAGGAGTTTATCCTCAGCGTCCAGACTGCAAATGAAGCGCGCATGCGCCGGGATTGACGGCGCAAATTGATCACAATAATTAAAATAGCCTGCGCTTTGTAAAGCGAAAAAAGTCGTAACATGCAACTTTTGTAAAAACAAATGAACATGGCGCGGAAGCACCACTGTTATGACGCAGCACCTGAAAAGAAAACACGTTGGAGCCTTCAATGGCAGTGAAGAGAGCTGATCAGCAGGATGAGTAACCATGTTTGTTTGGTTTTAAAGTGGGGAAATGTAACGTTAGTTTCTCAGGTAGCTCATCTGATGCTTTCCTTACCTTGTTAGTAGGTTACAGACAGTGATAAGGTTGGCTACTTATTTTACTTTTAATTTCATTTGAATTAGCTTAAGCAGCGTTTATATTTATTTTATAAATAAATGAACTTGCAAATTATGAGGGCAAGGCTTTTAAAGTTTAAATCTTCTGGCAAAGATAAAGTAAAGAAGATTCTGCAATTTATGGAAGTAAAGCAGAATAAAATCCAGCAAGATCAGTAATATGTCAATTAATTATCTGCCACATTCCCATGTAAATATCTGTCTTTGGAGGATGTGTTTTTTAGCACCCCTAGTTCTCTCATTTTTATTCCAAATACAATTTATAATTTGAATCACAGGGCTATTTTTATCTCTATGGTTCAGTATTTTCTCAAGTAGCAACTTTAACTGCTATACTTTCCTGTCTTAAAAGGCAGAACTCTTCTAGTCTAAAAAAAACTCATTTGTTGAAATGGGGGGACCTATTGTTTGAGCCCCTTAGGGGCTTTAAAAACAAAAATGTCTTTTTTTGCGCTTTATGAAACAAAGTAGCCTATATTTTGTGGATGTACAGCAACATTTCTCATGTAAGTTTGCGTAGTTTTAACACAAACATTTATTTTTCATATTGCACCAGTACAGTTAATGAGCAACCTGTACTTGTGTGCTTGTTTGTTCTGTCTAAAATGTTTATTTTGGAATAAAGAGGTTAATATAAAAAATATTTTTGTCCAATTCATCGATTAATCGAAAAAATAATCGGCCGATTCATCGATTTTTAAAATAATCGTTAGTTGCAGCCCTAGATTGAAGACGTGGCAGTTTTTGGAGGAGCTGGCCGATCGGCAGAATCTTCTCCTGTACTGTGAGTGTAGATTGTGAATAAAGGACTTAAAGATGTAAAGATGAATGATTATTTGTGTTTATATAATTCTCTGTTTATAACATGACATGTACATTTATGCGTTTCACACCTGCAGCTGTGCTATAAGTTAAAATAAGTTGTGGCTGAATATGGGGAGAAATATGGCTATTAATAATGGAAAAGATAAGTTAACCCAGTAATGATATTTTTTGTTTTCTTTTATTATACATTATAAATTTCAGGAGGGAAATGAAGGTCCTGACTATCCCAACATAGAGCAGCCAGTTTGTGAGAAACAGTTGGAGAAACAGTCTTACTCAGGAACCCAGCAGTTCAATCACTGGGAAACTGCCCCATTGACTAATATTAATTGCTATTTTGTATTAAAGCAAGATAAAAAAAAAAAAAATCTTAGGTATAATGTCTTGTAAAATGCAAAGCAATGCTTTTTTTTTTTTTTTTCCTAAGGGTACGTAGATTAAACTAGGTTATGGAAGGGACAGTGTTATAATCCAATCAGGCTGATTATGTCAATCTTCAACAAACTGATTTTTCTACGTTCTGCCAGAGAGGATCCCAGAGCTAGTGAAATCACGTTTTTATTAGCAGATTTTGTATTTTCACAAGTTTTCATTGTTTCATTTTTGTTTTTCAGATTGAGTTTAATCAATTGCATTCTTTTAAAATCGCTACGTATTCACAGATCATTCTATTTTCAGCCCGCTTAAAAAAGTGCTCACTCTTGACGAAAACAATGACCAATAAATATGTTGTTGTAATATATTACATATATTTTTTTGGATTAAAGGTTGTTTTTTTTTATTCATTTCTGGATATCTTTTTTTTAAAGAACAATAATGACACACATTTTACTCTGTTTCCAGGTGTGTTGACTAATTTAACTTTTTAGTTGTTAGCATTTTAACTGTAAACTGCAAATAAAAATACAGCAATTAATTATTCACATAAATACAGGAGAAAAGGAGAAGGGAAAATTATGTCTCTGCAAGTCATCTAGGAATCTTCTATGTCATTACAGTTAATAATAATAATAATGATAATAATAATCAAAATAACAAAAATAGTATAACAATAAGGCTGTTATTATCAGAGTAAGATATTGAGGCAGCCCAGGACAGAAGTGGCCTTCCTCACCAGCTTATTCAGTCTCTTTTTGTCCCGCTCTGAGCTGCCAGGGGCCCAGCAGACAACAGCGTAGAGGAGGGCTGAGGCCACCACAGAGTCATAGGTTTTAAGGAGGGGCCTGCTGACTCCAAAGGCCCTCGGCCTCCTCAGGAGGTGGAGGCGGCTCTGGCCCTTTTTATACAGAGCGTCAGTGTTATGAGTCCAGTCCAGTTTATTATTGACGTAAACACCCAGGTATTTGAAACTCTCCACAGTTTACATTACAGTGAACCCTCGCTATAGCGCGGTTCACTTTTCACGGTCTCGCTGCTTCACGGATTTGCATCATGCATTGTTAACCTTTATTGTCAAACATAATCGATGGCGGCATGTCAGTTTATAAGGATCTTTTGGCCCAGAAGAAAAAAGAGCGACAACAACTGCCGATAACTATGTTCTTCTCTCAAAAACACACACCTGCACCGCAGGCTTTAGAAGAAAACAACGCCACAGAGCAGTCAGGATGCAGCGGCTTCGTCAGAACAGCAGTGAAATACTGTACTGTACACGTCAGTCACTATACTTTGTATTTTTTTTCATAATCATTTTTCATTTTCTCCCGTTACAATCCGTCACGGTGGGGCAGTGCTGATCCCCGCAATATTAACTCTTCATTTCGTATTGATGATTCAAATTATTACTTATTTATTTATAACTATATTATTTTACAGTACAGTACAGTAGTTAACAACGTTTATACCGTACTTTTATTTGTTAAACAAATGCTTGGGCCTGTAAAAACGTTTTGTTCCTTGATTTCAATGTTGTATGGAGTATTTCATCGTATGATAACTGTAAAAAAATAAAGGTTTCTATTTCACGTATTTCACCTATCGCGGGTTCTTTTTGGAACGTAACCCCCACGATAAACAAGGGTTCACTGTATTTAAAATGGGAATACTCCGGATTAGCTCACTGACTTTTGGGTCGTGTCACAGCCATCTGTGACAATAGCTTAGAAACGCCACTATTCATCGCGGCAGCAAGCAACATTCTTGCATAATGTGCCCAAAAAGCCTGGGGGTTGGGCCTTTCATGCTTGTTGTATCAGGCATCATAGCGTCCTTTTCCAGATCAAACTGAAAATTTTACCAGCTAGATAATAATAATAATAATAATGATAATAATAATAAAAATAACAAAAATAGTATAACAATACGCCTATTATTATCAGAGTAAGATATTGAGGCTGTAGAATGATAATCCCTATGGTCTAATGTAATTCCTTGGAAAGGTGGAGCGCACATCAGCTGATCTAAATAAAAGAAAGACGCCATAAAGTCAAACAGCATAATAGGCTACTATCCGTAAAATATATAAATAAGTTAAATAAGTTATTGTACAATTTTTGATATCATAGGCCATGAAGTGATTTTAAAAAAATAGAAAAACATTTAAGGCAAGATTAATAAACTTGGCCACAGCAGGGACCGAACCCTCAACCTTCTGAACTGTAGACCATTCACCCTACCCTTTACGCTATCAGAACACAACACATGACACCCCTCCCAGTCTGCTTATTGACCTACCTAATCCTGAGTCATGGGACGCTGAAATGGACTCAGACTGCCACCTAGTGGCTATAGTAGTCACATGTTTTTCACGCAGTTCGTGAAACACGGGGAGCGTGAGTGAAGTGTCCATTTCCAACTAGTACCCACTGTATTTATATATGTGTGTATGTGTAAAACACTGTTAAACAAACAACTCTTGCACACAAAATGGATAATGCAGTGTTGGAAAACCTGGCAGAAGTGGTAAAAGTTGCCAGCAGCTGCATGATTAAACTTGTTTATATATATATATATATATATATATATATATATATATATATATATATATATATATATATATATATATATATATATATATATATATATATATATATATATATATATATACCTGCAGTTTTAAGTTTACCACTCTTCAATTGAAAACACCTTCCACAGCACAAAAAGCAACAGTGAAGCAGCGTGAAGGAACACAAGTCACTCTTTTACACCTATCAGCTGCAATTTCAAAAAGCAACCACCAGGGGGAGGCAGGGTGCCTTCACCTGGGAAATTTAAACTGTGGTTGCAGTGACATGCCTACGCCAGCAGATGGCGCCAAAGAGCACTACACAATTTGGATCTCAGAACACTGGGATCAGCTGAGTAGTTGTAATTACACAAGCTACCACTAGAGGGAGAGAAAAAAAATCTTGT